CATCATGAATTTGAAAGGAAATTCCTTCCAACATATAATGTCATTTAACATTAGACTTGCCCCAGCAGACTGGGTAATCAATTTTGATGTTGGACTAGATGAGAAAGAATGGAGAAAGTTTGATAGTGGGTTGTGGGTTGAGTCGTGTGGGAGTGAAGAAACGTGTGGGATGGTGGTGTGATCAATGATTGGGGATGGTAACGGTAAACAAGGAAAGGAAATCCCTAAAATTGGGTAACTGAAAATTTTAGTTTTTTAAAAAAGGAAGTAAAATAAAACTAATGATCTATTATTAATTAATAATAAAAAACTATAAATATATTAATAATTTATTAAATAAATATAATTTAATTTTAAAATAAAATAAAATCTAACTGATATGTCATAGCCCGTAAATAATCTGTTATAAGCAAGTAAATTTTTAAAAGTAAGGTTTAAAACCCGTAATATTTACTCTTAAATATGTATATGGGGTGATTTTTCCAACTAAAAACAACCCACACCAAACAGAAGCCCAAAACGAATACTTAATATTTTGATTATAAATTATCTTTTCATTCCCTTTTCATTATTTAGTATGCTACCCGCACATTTGCGTATGATTGATTTTATTTATTTGAAATATATTAAATTAATATTTTATATTAATAAAATATTTAACTATTATCTTTTATCTTTGTAATTTTTATTTCTAGATTTATTGATTTATACATGTTTGTAGTCGTCTTATTTGTCGAGATAACTGTTTGCATCTCATATATGAAGCTTCACTTGTCATAATAAATATATGGTATTTGTAGACTTTTAAACATTTTCTTTTCTCATGTTTTATTCAAACTTATATTATCAAGTATAAAAATTGTTTAATTTATCAAAAAAAAAAAAAACTACTGTTTAATTTCTCTTCTCATGCTGATGTCATTCATGCTATAAATGATAAATTTGCTATTGGAGTATTCCCATTTATTAATACTAAAATAACTAAAAAACAAGTACTTTCATTTGATTATGATTTGTTTGTTTTTATATTTTTTTAGTTTTAAGGTTTTAGTGGTATGGTTTAGTACTAATTCTTATTTTTTTCTATGTATGAACTATTCATCTTGAGTCCAACCGGGACTCCCTCTTTGTCCCCTTAACGCCCCTTTCGAGTCAGCCCTATCGATGTCAAAATTTGAAAAGGGAAGCTGATATAGGTCTCGGAAGCTGAAATGTAGGGCTATATGCAGCAGAGTTGCGATTAATATATATCATATACATTGATATACAACAGGTATATACAAAGGGAGAAATTGGGTCAAAAAGCAACAGCAAGGCCCAAGTTGCTGGTCCATATGAAAAGGAAACCGGACTTGGGCACATAAATGTTATTTAAACTCTAGTTTTTTAAATATTTTAATTAACTCAGTTAAAATCTCCAAATGATGGACCATCAATTCTCAAATATTCCTAATCAAGTTTTCAGTTATCTTTAATTGATTAAATTGTTTCGAGTTATTATTTTATTCAAATAAATTCTTACTTAATTTATTTTGTTAAAGCCTTAATTACTTTCAATTTATTTCAAATGGTTAGTTAAGTTTCCTTTCCTTTTATCTTTTTCTTAAAAAAAGAAAAGAAAAGGGAATTTACACAAATCTCATAGAATTAAAACTAACTACATCATATCTTTATTCTTTTTTAAATTACAGAAATTCCTTATATTTGGCGGAATCTAATTACATCCCAAAACGTCTTGATATTTCGCATTCCGATTTCGGATACAACGCTCAACGTCGCGATACATAGCATCTCGATTACAAATACATCACTCAACGTTCCGGTATATCACGTATGCCCCGATACATAACATAAAGTGATGTATTCGAGAACAAGAGAGTATGGATTTTTGTAGTTCTTTCAAATGGTAGGTAATTCTAGAAAATATGATAAAATAAGTTGTGTATTTAGGTAATTTTTCCAAAACAAAAAAATTATGATTCCTACACTATCATTTTCTCTAAAAAGTTTCGTCGGATAATCACAGATTAGGGGCTACTTTAAGTTCTAATACCTTCTTAAAGTAAAACTAAAAATCTCTTACCAATTTTCTCTAAATTTTTAAATGTTTATCTTTTAAGACCTTTTAAAATTAAGTTAGCTTCATTTCTTTTTTAAAAAAAATTAAGTGAGGACTCTATCTAAATATTTTTCTTAAATTATTTTATACTTGGAGCATTTCAAATAATAATTTTTCTAAAAATAGTAAAATCACAACATAAGAACAGTTCATTTGTTATGATTCAAGTCTATAATTTAGACGCTACCAACACTCAGAATAATTATTAGTTTCAAATGGATCCTTGACTTGACTTACTTCTATATACTTTAAGGGATCGTTTGGTGTGGGTAATAAAAATAAATAGTGATGCGATAAAAAATTTGTATCTTGTTTGGTTGTCATGTTTGAAATAACTTATCCCACTATTTATATCATAGTGATGAGATAGTTATTTCATATATATGATGGGATAAGTTATCCCGGCATAACTAACCTCGATAACTAATTATGAGATAACTTGTTTCTAATCAAACGACTAAGCAGAAGCTTTTTAAAAAATGAGCCGGCATTTTGTAATCAATATACAGCAAACGCTGGCGTGTCGCCTCGTCATCAATCAAATCAAAAAGCAAAGAGAAAGCTAAAAGTAAAGAACTATGGCTTCAATAACTTGTAATAAAATAAAAAGTTGTTATGCATTATTGTTTGAACCCTTTTTGTTTCTTGTTCTTATCTACAAAAAAAATCCCAAAAGGTCAGTTTTTTTTTTTTGAATTTTTATGCTTTTTTTCTTAGTTAAAGGTTTGATTTTTAGTTCAGTTTCAATCTTTTCTTGGAATCATAGTGAAATGTCTGGTTTCTGATTCAGTTTCAATCTTTTCTTGTTGTCTGAACTTGTATGTCTTTTTTGTGATTATTAAAGATATGATTTTTAGTTCAGTTTCAATCTTTTGATGTCTGAATTTGTAGTTATTTTGCCATAATTGGGTTGAAAATCAAAGGGGGGGGGGGGGGTTAGGGT